CAAATTTGTATATCACACTGTACCGGTGTCCAGTTGACTTTCCAGTGTTAATTATGTTGTTTATTTAAAAAATCAACAAGAAAACGAATGGTATAGTGGAAAAATTATCAGGGCAAGTGATTTTACATGTGCCACTGTACCGGAGTACACTAGCAATTTTAAAGTTATTTCCACCCCTGTGGTCTTATTGAAGTAATATCATGGAGGGGGACACTATAGACTGTGACTATGTGGCCACAGTCTTTTAAACCTAGTCTTTAGAACAAGAACAAACCCCGATTATCGGCCCAATCCACAAAGTATTTGTAGGACTACAAACATCATAAAACTTGTCGTAACGTAATGACGGAATGACAAAAATCCAAAGTGACCTACGAACCTATCTTGAAAATATCCCATAAAGTTAAGATAGAAGTTACAAGAGGTTAGTGCCTGTTGTAAATTAAACACTTCTGTCGTAACTTCAGCTATCAAAATGGCAGCTTATTTGAAGAATCAAGACAGTCACAACTAAGTGTGTTTCCATACCTTGCTCTAAGGGTACTCAACACATTTAATAATATATCAAATTTACAAATGTATTATGAACACTTTGTGTATCAGTCATAAATAATAGTGAAAGTTTCTTAATTTTGATCATAAAATTCAGTGATCCATGTCAGTTAGAATGCTTTGTGGATTGGCCCCAACAAGCTTCCCTTACGCGAAATATGAAAGCCCTGTATAGTTATGAAGTGGTGTAGTGCGCAGAAATGTAATATTTAGTCATGATTTCAGGTGCAGGAACTTTACAATTCCTATTAAGAATTTGGTAGAAAATACATTGTTGTCCATCCCTGGGGACACAATGTATATTCCTCCTGTGCCCATTCTGTACATTTGTGCATACTTAAAGCATATTAATGCTATGTATAAAACCCTAAGTAGCCACCAAGTAGAGCCAGACTGTAGGAATGAATATTCATAACTACGCCAAAAAAAATATATGTCTGTTTCCGGTAACCCGATCGACCCTATCCTTAACCCACCCGACCCTAAATCTTTTCTCAACCAAGTCAAAATCATGACTGGAGTGCATTTCAACTCATCATTTTCATCCAAATCGAGTATGATATTTTCATGTTTTTCAGTGTACATAGGGCTAAAATGGATTGCATCGAATATGTGCATAATGTGCTCTCACTGACAAAACCTGCAAATAAATAACAGTAATAAGAGACAATACTTCATGCAACAGCTCTTGTGCACTGGACCAATTTCTTATGCAACTTGGGGGGGCGGTGGGGCCTAAAAGCGTAGTGGAAGACCCAGGTTCGATTCCCCACATGGGTATAATGTGTTTCTGCCCATTTCTGGTATCCCCATGCTCACTCACTCGCTCTTATGCAGATATTGCTGAAATATTGCTAAGAAGCAAGATTTCTGGGCTAAAACTAAACTCAGTCAGTCTCAGATGTGTTTGTTTCATCACACATTTCTACAGCTTTTATAATTAGTTGTCTGTGATTCTTGCAAGCAATCTTAGTCTTCATTAGCTAAGGCGATAAAAAATTCCATGATTATTATAGAGCTATAAACTGCCTTTCAGTCCCTGAACCATATTGTTTTCCTTTCCAACTGTAATGCCTAAGTCCGTGAATGTAGCAAGTCTAGATTTCCTCACGTTCTGAATCTCCCATCTCACTGGCCCTCCTTTTAAATTTAAGTTATGAGTTGTTTCTATAAAAGTTATATAGTTTTAGACACTATGTATCAGTCTAGAGTTCTTACATTCTCACTGCCTTTCGTAAAAATGTTTAATTTTTGTTTAAAAATCCTGTATATTCTTCAGCACCATTCTTTGTTTTCTCCACTAATTAGGTCACTTGAGATAATGTGTCTGTGGTATATGTAGGATCCGGTCGGAATGTCACCTTGAAGTCAGCCGATTGTTATCTGTTAACTTAATGTTCAAGTCTTGCAGGTGGTTTGGAAAATTGAGAATGTTTGTCTCTAGCGGCTTGTGATCAGTGATGAGCTCAAACCATGATCCATAGAGGTAGATCGTGAATTTCTCCCTAGGCCCACACAACCACAAGGGTATCCTCAGTCTGAGAGTAACAGCACTCTGTGTAAGTTAATATGCCCCTTGCCTACAACCTGGACTATGATCAGTCCTGCTGTTCTGTTGTAAAGGGGCGGTGGAGAGCCTAGTGGTTAAAGTGTCTGCTCGTCATGCCGAAGACCCGGGTTCAATTCCCCACATGGGTTCAATGTATGAAGCCCATTTCTGGTGTCACCCGCCATGATATTGCTGGAATATTGCTAAAGCCGGCTAAAACCATGCTCACTCACTCACTCACTCACTCACTCACTCACTCACTCACTCACTCACTCACTCACTCACTCACTCACTCACTCACTCACTCACTCACTCACTCACTCACTCACTCACTCACTCACTCACTCACTCACTCACTCACTCACTCACTCACTCACTCACTCACTCACTCACTCACTCACTCACTCACTCACTCACTCACTCACTCACTCACTCACTCACTCACTCACTCACACAGCCAGCTTGGCTTGCACCAATGGTCTGGCTTGTATTTCCACCAGTACTCTATTATGTGAGCACATTAGTACAAACCAGTACAATCTTCATTGAGTTGAAACCTTATTCCTGGTATTCCCCAGTGTCGAAGGAATTTCTTTTGTGTTGGCTTTTGTTGCGGTTCTGATATTATGGCTAAATCTTCATATTGATAATGCTCTATCATGATGGCCTTGTCTCAACAGATCAACTGTACATTGTGTGGTTTGGCCGGAAAATTCTAAATGAGTCTTTTTTCTGCGAGGACGCTCTGTATGTCATGATTTCCTACATTTTCAAACATTTGAACAGTTTCTGGTTTAATGTCCTCAATTATGTGTCCAGTAACTATTGATTTTCTAACCACTTTTCTCTCGGAAATTACTTCTCTGGCTCACAGAATATCCGTTATTTTCTATTTCCCTCTCTTGAGTACCAGTTTCATAATCCTATCAATTTCCTGGTGTTCTTTCTCTCAGATGCCTAAAAGAGTTGGCCTGAAATGCAAATGTTAACCCATAAATCAGTGTAAAAAGAATTAATTGTGAAATCAATAAATAATCACACAAGATCAATGAATAATCAGTAAATGAGACTGAAACACCAGTTTTAGGTTTCCAATCAACATTAAAATAAGCACTTACGACAATCATATAAATTAGTGGACAATTAGAAATTAATTAGGTATCCAATCCACAATAGAGAAAAGTCAGATTTGGTATGGCCTCATTCAAGGTTCTTTTGGGCATAGCCAACATTTCGGAAACAGTCACATTCTGTAAGTTCTCCAGCGATGAAGCTAGGTGTCATGTTTGTAAACAACCAAGGGCAGATAACTCTAATCACTCACTGCAGCACTTGACTACATACAAGCTCTACAATCATTCTCCTGACACTAAATGTATTTACTACCACTTCAGCTGACAGTTATATTACTTAGGGACCGTTCATAATTTATGGCTAGGGGGTTGGGGTAGGGGAGTGTGGGGAGTGGAAGAAGAGAAATATGATTTTAAAGGTGGGTCACCCATTTGGTTCTGACAGAGTATCAATTTTGTAAATAAAATAAAGAAACATTATGCTTAAAAATTATGAGAAGGGGGGAGAGGGGATGATTTTGTACATGACATGCAGGGGGGTTACTTACTTCGTACATAAATTATGTACTGTTTCTTACACGTAACAATTTGCCAATGGGAAGGTATAAAATATAAAAGTATTTCAATATTACAATATTATCAGAGACCTTTGGTATATCTATCTTAATTCATATAAACATTGCAACAATAAAACAAGATCATGCCCTTCACAATTGATCAAACATTTAAAGGTTTTGTCAAGTTCTAATCTTATGAAAAGTAGTTTAAAAGACAAGAAAATAGGTACCACTCTTGCCTGAAGGTTGTGTAGCACAAGGAAAAATATTGAAATTCTAAAACCAGTGATGTTTCTTCTTGTCTGCTTTGGCAGTTAATGACAGGCTCTCACCTGCAAGAGGTCGTATTAACATGTCAGCTTTTTGAAAACTGGTAATGGTCTCATTTGAAACAAAAATCCTCCAATCTTCATTTTCAGAAAAACTATGAAAAACTGTTTATCAATTTGGTCTTGCCTTGGGCAATATTGTGTTTGGCATCTGTTTTGTAGTATTGTTAGTGGAGTTCTATAAGATGGAAACAGACTGTTGTTATCAAACTGATTCATCCGGAAACTGATTCAGTTAATGATGCAGAATGAATTAGGGCAGTTGGGTAGCCTAGTGGTTATAGCGTTCGCTCGTCACGCCAAAGACACAGGTTTGATTCCCAACATGAGTACGATGTGTGAAGCCTATTTCTGGTGTCCGCGGCCCGTGATATTGCTGGAATATTGCTAAAAGCGGACTAAAATCATACTCACTCACTCACTCACTCAGAATGAATTGACAGGCCACTCAACATATACTCAAACGAGAAATTTATGAAGCACTTTCATCTTGTCATATGCTCAGCATTATTCTTCAACATTGCCTCCTATACTCAGCATTGTAAAATAGTATGCTATGTTTATGCATTTATTTCGGGCTGTGACTGTGTGGACTGTGCACTAGTGGATAGTGCGTGTGCCATGAAAGCAGGTCTGGGATGCAGTCTCGGCTGTGTCATGCCAAAGGGCTTTAAAAAAGGTACACTGCCTACCATACAGTATTAATGGGATAAAACAAGGACTTGTCAAGTCAGTAGGCTTGGGTCAGTATGGTCATTCATGTTAAAACAGCTGAATGGCATATCTGACCATATATAAACGGCATAATGACGAGTACAAGCAATCGAACCCCGAATCACCAGAACACATGCACACACACACACGCACTGACAGATTTACGTCGCTATAACTATTTGTGTCGATATTGCCCTATGTCACCTCTCCTCTACATCTGTTTCAGGGCTGTGGGCTGCATTTTTGGAGAGCTGCTCAACAACTCCCCTCTGTTCCCAGTAAGTAACAAAGTGTTGGTGATTCTGCCCAAATAAATTTTTCTTACAAATTACTGTGCTAAATGGGGTGATTCTTCACTTGGATAATATTATTTCTTTGAATATTTCTCCAAATATTGCTTTATGAATTTTTCTATTGGAGGTGAAACAGTACTTCAGGATTACATGGTGCTATTTTGGCAAATAGGAGCATACCTTTGAAAGGTGCATGCTTCAATAAACAATTTATTGATGGTGAAATAGTAAAGAGAACGAAACAACAATAGGCATAATACTTTATTAAGAATTCAGCAGAAGCTTATCTTCTTTTCTGCAAATAAAGCTGATATGTGATGAATTTTTGTAAGATACATTTAAAAAACAAGATGGCTGCCATGTATATTACACAAAAGGAATTAAAGAAAACCTGATTCTTTCATATTAGTATTGTTAAACTGTAATGAAATGAAAGGACCAAGTGGTCTTACATTTCTCACACTTCTGACTCACTCACTCACATACTGACTGACTGACTGACTGACTGACTGACTCACTCACAGCTGTGTCCATGTTTCAGGGGGAAACCGACATAGAGCAGTTGGTGTACGTCCTCCGCGTGCTGGGCACCCCCAACAAGGAGACGTGGCCGGTAGGTATTATCTTCATGTAAATTTCATGTAAATTACTTTTATTTCATTGGTCAATGATGCGTTAACAAGTTTACGTGTCAACCCTCCAACGAGGGTGACAAGTGGAAAAATATTACCTGCTGCCACGGTATCCATCAGACTCTCCGCCGAGAAGCTGTATTACTAACAATAGTATGACGTCATAATATGACGCATGCAGTGCCCGGAGTTTGAAAACAGTTCGATTAGCTGTTTTGTAATTCACATTCATGTACACATTTATTTAACCAACTTTTTTATTTAAACTATTTTATACATTGAATCGTTTGCACACTCAACTTAAACATAATTAACCATTTTCATAGCAGTTTAAAGCTTGTCAGAATATGTTTCACTGATTTAAAAAATCCAGTCGAGAGGCAGAAGCCATTTTGTTTACATGTCATATAGTGGGTAACGATCTTCAAAATACAATAATATGATATTTTGTACATTTAACATGGCGGTAAGATAAATATGTTGTATGCTTCTCCCTCGGGTAATATGGTCTGATGTACGCCTCTTTGTAGCAGTGTTATCCCTGGCCTACCGGCTCGGGTGACACTGCTACAAAGATGCGTACATCAGACCTAAACCCTTGAGAGAAGCATACAACATATATTGCCATAACAACCTGCTGTACAGGCCAACATCCCCCCAGAAGAATTTACCAGCCTATGTGTGATCAATTGTACAGCTTTAGGTACCAACACATACCCTTGATATGACTACAGGGCTTTATCTGTTAGAAACATGTAACATATGTTATATTTGGGGTAACACTTTCTTTGTAAAGTACAGATTCTAGTACTTTTGTTGGGTTGAGTCCCATCCGGGATTTGAACCCACACCCTCAGAGTCAGGCACCTAATCGCCAGCACATGAAGTCAGACACCTAGACCGGCGATTAGGTGCTGGCGATTAGGTGCCTTATTTTGAAGCAATTTCATTTGTAGTAGAAGTAGTAAATATTTTTACCGATGTAGGACGTACATTTTGAGAGGCTCAGCTATGCAAAATTTCAGCGTCAAATCAAAACCATGATTTGTAAAAGCAGGGTTTTCATTTCTTTCCTGAGTGGCATTTTAGAAGTTGGGACGTACAATACTGAACAAACTTTATGGATAACAACTGCTTTTATTTCGTGAGTGCGACGTTTCGATACAGATCCTTGTACTGTTGTCATGAAATTCGTGCTAATTGACAACAATATTATACAAAGAATCTGTTCAATATTTTCATTTCTTCACGCAGAAAGATGTCACATCACAGGTTACGATCTGAATTTGAGTATACTGAATGATATATGTATGAGAAAAGACTTACTCTGTCAGTTTACAATAACACCACACTTTGTCCAGGGGATGACGGACCTGCCAGACTACCACAAGATCTCCTTCCCATACAACCCCCCGATCCCCTTCGAGGATCCTCCCCGACGCATCCCCAGTAGCCCTGGATCTCCTGAAGAAGTTCCTGGTTTACCCCACCAAGAAAAGGATATCGGCTAAGGAGGTGAGTCTGTGTTACATGGCCATTATAGAGGACAGGGTTTTACCTTGACTTACAAAAGAAGCGATCCAGGAGACCTCATATAAATATTTTACTGGTCCTTGGAGACAATAATTTCTATTGTTGGGTAATCTCTCAAAGAAGATACAAAATGTTCCAGCCTTAGTTCCTTACAACCAAGTAAATTTATCTGTTTAGATGCCTTCAATGAAGGGCAGCTGCTCAAGATGCACCTGGTGAGATCAATTTGGAAGATAATTTTTGCACAGGTTTTACACAAACAACAACTGTGTGTCCTTACCACTCAATTGTACAGAATGGTTGCAGAAACCAAAACACTGTGTCCTTAAGGACACACAAACATATTCATTGTACCTTGAGTACATCAAGAGCAGTAGCTGGTACTTCATCCATCATACTCAGGATCACTGATTCATTCCGGGATCTGATGTAATTATCTACAGTACACCACACCATTTCATTACTTTATTGGATCCCCTTGCTGCTAGACAAAGGCTTAGTCTCTGAATATAGAAAAGTTTGGTAAAACAAATAATTCTATTTTAATTGTAAAGGAGCCCCAGTGTGAGGTGAGATTGAGCCTGAGGAAATGTAGACTTGCTTTATCTAGGGCTGTCACATTGAGGATGGGGCTGGTCGGGAGGGAAAATAATGTGGTTTTGGAACTGTGAGACAATCATAGTTGCAAGCTGAAGAACTAATTATGCAAAATCCTTTGTTGGATTGAATTTTTTTTTAAATTATTTTTGTTTTTAAATAAATTGTTAAGTGAAAAACGTTCAAATTCTTCTTTTCAGGAGCCATTATGCCTAGCAATCTGAAATGTTATGGGGTATAAAAAGTTTTGTATATGTGTCAAGCATCACAACTATTCAGATATTGAACAACTGTTCAAGTGGCATATTTTAAGAATCAGCAAAGTCTAAAGAGCTGAAGCTGATGTGTTTCTATCTCTTCAGTGGTAGATATTCTGAAATCTGAAAAACAAAATGTAACAGAGAAACTTTGTGAAGTGTTTCACAAAGCGAACATAACTGCCAGAATGAAAATCCCAGAAGTGGACATACATTGAAACAACTACTAATCAATATACTGCCAGTCTATACTCGACTTCTGCCTTACCGTTATGGCGCCATCAGGAACTAATGCTGGTCGGCAGCACCAGGGCTCTTACAGGGCTGTGGGATTGCCAGATTTTACACAAATTACTATTTAGTATGATTAATCATAGCTAAAATGTAAACAAAACATTGTGATTTTGAAGATATAATTGTGGTATCGCAGAAACTGTTTGAACTTTCATGCTCCCATGACCCTGAAACAGTAGCAACACTCTACATGCAAGTTTCTCAGCATCGTTCATTTGAACGTTTGTTGATATGAGGACCACTCTTTGATTCTATATTGAATATGTAGTGAAGATACGTGAATTGTGAGGCATGTTGCTGACATCTGTTGGTGTCCTTGGGACACCTGTTGGTGTCCTTGTGACACCTGTTGGTGTCCCTGTCTGATGCAGTAACATCTAGAGATATTGGCTAAGACAAGCCTCAACAACAGGCACATAAAAGTGGGCATGGCAAAATTTGTTTCAAACTAACTTTCATGCTTATCTGAATGTGGTAAAATATTAGTTACCATGACATATGTATTGTTAAAATATTCAATAAATATTTCCAATTGTAGTTTTTAGTTTTGGGATGTTTTGATAAATTTTGCTTTCATGTGAGATGTATTTATGACAAAATTATATTTCTCACTTTAGAACAGTTTGAATTACATGTATCAATTTCTGCAAAGCAATATAGATATTTGGGTAACAGATGTGTCAGTGTTTAACTATTTCCAGCTGTTTGCAGCTTTCAATATTTCAGATATTTTTATATGATAAGTTATCAGTAATGTATATTTTAATCTTTTTTCTCCTCAGTGATAATGGGTAAAAATCTATCAATGCATTAAAAATAATTCAACTATTATCTTTCATCTGAATATCACTTATGTGAAAACTATTTGACATATTACAAGTGTACCATACAAAATATATGGATAGATGTTTTACTTTTCTAACTTGATATACATAATTTTTCCTTATCCTGACTCATGCTTATTGCTTGTCTCCTTCCTCTTGCGAACGTTAGTGGGACACTTGTATCTTCTATTGAAGCTCCCTTCAATAAAAACATACGTAAAATCACTACTCACCATGAGTTATCCCTCTGGCCGTTTTGGCGGGAAAAGTGGCGCCACCGCTCCCACATGCTTCACTCTCTCCTTCTTCGCCCTAGTGGACGGTTGGGAGAGCGCCTGTGTCTTCTATACGGCACTATATCCTTTCATTTATTAGTTATTACCCTATACATTACCTTTATAGGGGCTTAGGGAGTATCCTTCAACAATATGGTTTGAAATTAATTCGTAAATTTTACTGTTTATTCACGGTTTTGTCCGTGTTTGTTCAGTTGTTTAAATTTCATGAAAACCTTTTCTCGTTGTAGGTTTAGGTTCGCTGCTGCAGACCCGCATTTATTGTGCCCTAGCTGCACAACACCATGTACTTCCAGCTCTCGCTGCAACCTTTGTCAGCATTTAACCAATATTGAATTTAATAAATATATTTTTTGCGTATTAGGCGTGCAAAAGACAGATCCAGGCGACTTGTTCAAGTCATGGATATGCCGGCTGAGTCCCTCACGTGTCAACTGATGTCAGACGATCCTCTTCCCTCCAGTGATCCGCCAGGGATGTCCTCGGAGGATGGGCGTGGGACGTTGTCCGCCACCTCGCAGAAGAGGGCTGCCACTTCGAACATCCCTTCATCGCAGACGAAGAAAAGAAGCCATCCTCTTCGCAGAGACGGCCACACACCCCTAAGACGACAAGCAGCTCTACGGGGACGTCTGTGCAGACAACTAGGACTTTCTCGGCCGAGATTGTCCCGATGGAGGAAAGAGAACTCTATGATGAGCCGCCGCTCCTCACCCCGGAGATACATCACCCCAAGAAGAAGCAGGTCTCAGCAACGGTAACATCAGCGCAGTTATCTACGCAGTCCGTGGTATCTACACTGACGGCAGATGAGCGATCCCTGGACCATATCACTACCAACGCAGAGAGGGCAGCTCATCTATCACCGCAGACATTCAACCCCGGGGCCTTCATGCAGCAGTTCTCACAACAGATCATGGAAATGATGGAGAGGCGCTTCGCGCAGGAAAGAGATCGACAACCAGCCTTGGACACCACTCGCAGGGAGGACCCGGACCTGCACAAAGGACCCCCTGCCGCCGACGCATTGGAGAGGCCTTCCATGGACGACGCAGATGAACAGCCTTCGGTCTTCGGAGACAGCCTCAAGGACGTCATCAACATCTCACAGATCAATGAGGGACTCGCCGAGGCCTTCACGAACAAAGAGACGCTCACCTCCACGCAGGTCTCCACGCAGATCGCCCTACAGGCGCAGCTCTACAGGCTCATCTCCACGCAGGTCTCCATGCAGGTCTCCACGCACGTCTCCACGCAGATCTCCGCGCAGGTCTCCACACAGGTCTCCACACAGATCCCCAGCGGAGGATGTTCAACGATCTCCGATCAGCGCCCCTGAAACAGAGGACGATGGCGGTATTATCTTCTCCGACGCAGAGATCAGATACTGGATGGCCAACGGACTGGAGTCACCCTCTAAGGAAGAGAATGCAGCACTCACATACCTGATGAAAGACGATGATGTCGACACAATTACTCTACCGCCAATTAATCCCATCTCGGAGGTTCCAGAGAACTTGGACGCAGCCTTCCGGAAGGCAACGAAATCCCAGGCACCGAATATTCCACAGTTCAACGCTAAGAAGTTCTCTCTACACAATATGGACCCCTTCATGAAGGCGCAGGACATCGATGATAACTACAAGGTCATCAACGCCGCCCGGACCAAGTCTTACAAGATTGACGACAAAAAGCTGGCGCAGATAGAGACTATGACCAGAAGGATGTTCTTCGGCCTGAATAGATCCAGGGCAGTGAACGAGACGCTCATCGCCAAGTTCAAGGACTCTACCGCAGAGGAGGACCGGATGATCTACTCTGCTCTACTCATGCAGAAGAAGGACCAACAGTTTATAACGGACCATCTATCATCCATCTCAGCAGGGTTGGCGAGGCGGCAAGGTCTACTAGCATCCTGCAACTGGAGTGAACGCTTCACGAAGTCTCTGTACACAGCTCCATGGTCGACGCCATCCATCTTCGCAGGGGAGATTGGCGACGTCGCCAAAGAAGTTACCAAAGACTCCAGAGAGGTCCTCATGATAAAGTCCATTGATACCCTAGCCAGTGTCATCAGGCAGACGTCCCAGCGCTACTCGGGCAAGTCGAAGTTCCCAGGCATCCAGAAGGCAAGAGACAAGAAAATGAGCTCCTCCAGAGGCTGGAAGGACTCTTTTCGTAGCCCAGCCGGCAACTATAGAGGACGACCTGGACGAGGCAGGGCACCCAGAGGCACCAAGGATCAGAGACGATGAAAGAGGGGTTCGGAACGACTGGAGTCTTCCACCCCCAGCCATTCCTGTACAACCTTCACAAGTGGGTGGACGCCTTCAAACTACTGGGAGAACTGGGGAATTCTTCAAGATCCTTTTGTATCCTGCATCCTAAGAGACGGATATCGCATACAACTACAAGCAACTCCGCCGTTGACAGACGAACCTCACAAGTTCAACTTCACGACCCATCGGACAGAGAGGCTACGAGAAGCGGTCACATCTCTACTAGAGAAGGAAGCCATAGAAGTGGTGGACCAGGACCAACTCTCACCAGGATTCTACTCCCCAATTTTCCTAGTGCCAAAGAAAAACTCCAAAGAAAAGTTTCGACTCATCTACAACATGAGGGCCTTCAACAAAGATTATCTACGCAGACCACCAAAGTTCAGCATGATACATCTACCACAACTCCTACACCTCGTCCGTCCGATGGACTACATGGCCAGCATGGATCTACAGGACGCCTACCTGCATATTCCTGTACATCGGGACTCAAGGAAGTACCTGAGGTTTATACTGGACGGACGACACTACCAATGGAAGGTCCTGCCATTTGGAATATCATCGGCCCCCTGGTTGTTTACAAGGGTGACGAAGCCCATAGTCGCATACCTACATCATCGAGGTCTACGCAATGCATTCTACCTAGACGACGGGATTCAAGTACATCAAGATCCCAAGCATCTCAGACTTCAACTGGACTTCACCATCAGACTGCTTACACAACTGGGGTGGCTAGTGAATCTCCTCAAGTCGGACCTAGTACCTACACACGACCTACAGTTCCTAGGAATCCGGTTCATCACAACACAGAACCGCATAGTGGTACCAGAGGACCGATGGCTCAAGATACAACAGACGATCTCGCAAGTTCTACTCTCTCGGTGGCCACTACGACAATGGCAGAGTCTGTTGGGTCTCCTCACATCAGCGCAAGACATGACAGTCAGAGGGAGACTACAACTACGCCCTCTACAGCTCATCTGGACGACCCGGAACCCTTCGGACTCCCGGACGCACTACGCCCATATCTACTATGGTGGACCCAGAGATCGAATGTTTGCAGAGGCACCTATTTAGCAGAGCCGGAGTGCACGATGCATCTCTATGTGGACGCATCACTCCAAGGTTGGGGAGCACATCTCGACAACGACGTGTCAGCTGGGACATGGACCAAAGAGGAGAAAGTTCTGCACATCAACATGCGAGAAATGAAAGCAGTAGTAAACGCCATACTCCACTGGACCAACATTCTGCAGGATGCGCATCTGATGGTACATACGGACAACTCCACAGTGGCGTTCTACATCAACAGGCAAGGATCAACAAGATCGTCAAACCTCCTGGACCTCTGCTTTCAACTGTTCGGCATAACAGACGACCTGAACATCCACATAAGAGCATGCCACATTCCAGGAGCCAAGAATGTGATCGCAGACGCACTGTCCCGTCCAACACAGCCGTCCCCAACAGAATGGATGCTACACCCAGAGATCTTCAAGCAGATCATACAAGAGATGGGAGCACCACTAATAGACCTCTTCGCCATGAGATTCAACAATCAACTGATAACATTCGTCTCACCAATACCAGATCCACAAGCATGGGCAACGGACGCTCTAAGCATCTCCTGGGAAGGACTAAACGTGTACGCGTTTCCACCACCAGCTCTAATACCGAGGGTGTTGCAGAAAATCAGCCAGACGAAGGACCTACAACTGATTTTGGTCGCGCCCTACTTGCCAGCGAGAATATGGTTCCCCATTCTCATACAAGAATTAGGACAACCTCAACTGCAACTACCAGAGTGGACGAATCTACTAGTACATCCTCACACAAAGCAGGTGCACGGCAACCCAGAGGTGTTCCGACTACACGTGTGGACTGTATCAAGGCGTGCTTGAACAAGAGAGGATATTCCGCCAGGGCAGCGAAAGCAGTCACACTAGCTCTACTCAAGTCTATGCGCAACTTGTACGACGACAAGTGGCGAAGCTTCGAGACATACGCTGCGAGGACAGGCTTTACAGCTATAAAGGTAACACATCCTCAAGTGGCGGACTACCTTTGTCACCTACGACAAACAAAGCGGTTAAAAGGGTCAACACTTTCAACATACCTAGCGGCATTGAGCTTAGTCATCTCCATGAGGATGGGTGCCAAACTGACGAAAGTACCAGAGTTACTGGCCTTACTACGCTCTTATAAATTGGAAGACCAACAACAGAGATTTAAAGCTCAACGTAGCTCTACGACATCTCACCAGCGACGTCTACAAACCATTAGAGAGGACATCCTTCGAGTTCTTGACGCAAAAGACGCTGTTCCTACTCGCCCTAGCAACAGCAGCCAGGATGTCAGAAATACATGCTCTGGACTACGAGAGAACACGATTTGATGAAAATCAAAACACCGTGCATATGGGACTACGATGGGATTTCATCGCAAAGAATCAACTGCCAGGTCAACCGGACAGACAATTCCACGTCCCAGCATTATCATCCGTCCTTGGACCACAGGATACGCAGGATCTATCCTTGTGCCCAGAGGGGGCATTGAATGTATAACTACAAAGATCCAGGATCAGGAGACGGAAATTCAAGCGTCTTTTCGTCCCGATATCAACAGCGACACAGACAGAGGTCTCCCGCACTACGATATCAATCTGGATCAGAACTGTCATACTACGGGCCTACAAAGCAGCTGAGTAGATCCTCCAAGAGCCTCCAACTCACACGAGATTAGAGCTCTGGCGTCAACACTCGCTCTACATGGGAATTGCTCTATCAGGACGATAATGGAGGGCTGCTTTTGGATTACCTGAGGGACATCGCCACCGAGGACGTCTCCGGCATTCACCATTTCGGCCCGCTGGTTGTTGCACAACAGTTGACGGTCCCTCAAAGGCGTTGAGACGAAGTCTCGCCCTTTTATCACATGACTTGATAAAGCCTACACTCGGAAGAGTTCAGCTTGGAGTCTATATGCACGTCTAAGGACAGACTAGCATAAGTGATATGACCCAGTACTTGTAAGGATACTCGTACAGGAAAGGGTCGCTTCTCCACTTGATGCTTGCATCAAGAGATGGAGTCGCAAAATCCACATAAAATGTTAACAGAAGCCAGGACCAAAAGTTAACTATTGTGGTCCCCCCGTCAGAGACAGCTGGAAGTACAGGGTTACAGCAGCAGCAGAGAAAACAGCAGTGCCAACATGAAGTTCCCATAGGGGGGTATATAAGACGTAAATCACTACATGAAATCCAGAAGTAACTTGACCCGCCTCCAAATCCGACGGATTCTACAAGCAATAAGCATGAGTCAGGATAAGGAAAAATATGTAATTTTCTGAATAAAATTGATATTTTATACTTATCCTGACTCATGAGGTAAGCCCTCCCAACCTCCCCGCTAGACTGTTTTGGATTTCCCTGCAAATTAAAGTGTCGGGCTCATAAATTGGAGAGAGTGAAGCATGTGGGAGCGGTGGCGCCACTTTTCCCGCCAAAACGGCCAGAGGGATAACTCATGGTGAGTAGTGATTTTACGTATGTTTTTATTGAAGGGAGCTTCAATAGAAGATACAAGTGTTCCACTAACGTTCGCAAGAGGAAGGAGACAAGCAATAAATATGAGTCAGGATAAGTATAAAATATCAATTTTATTCAGAAAATTACATAACTACAAATGTGATTAACTAATTTTCTAACAGTACATAGACCTTGGAATTTTTGTGAAATTTAATGACGAAGATCTGAGGCCATTTATGTTGGTGGGATAGCAATATATTTATCAGAAAATCTTGTGATTTGATGAGTGAGTGGGTGAGTATGGTTTTACGCTGCTTTTAGCAATATTCCTGCAATATCTCGGCAGGGGACACCAGAAATGGGCTTCACACATTGTGCCCATGTGGGGAATCAAACCAGGTCTTCAGTGTGTCAAGTAAATGCTTTAACCACTAGACTACCCCACCACTCCTATTATTTGATGAAAGGGAACAGGGCACATATGTCAGTTTATTCGGTTAAACTACAATGGAAACTATCTTGCTTTTGTTGGGGTTTTTTCTCGGATAATACCAATTTATATAATATACTACCCATCAAAAGTTTAGACTCACTTAAAGCACTCATTATATGTTATATCTCTATATATGAGGTTTCATCGAATATGAATTTCACCACTAACTTAGGGGAACCAACTGCAAACCTTATGTAGATGAACTGCACGAAGATCATGCATCAAACTGCTGAAAATCATGTGCACATATCAGGCATGTCAACAGCTGCGTTTTGGTGTAAAGTTTTGTTAAGAATTCACCAATTTTCACTGAGTTTCATCATTTATTGAACTTATGACAATAAACTTTTCAACATTACTAATTTGTTTTACAATACATCAGTTCATGTGTAAACAGTACCTTTACACAGTATGGAATATTTTGCAACATCTAGTTCAGAACAGTTGACTGAAGTAAGTGGCTACATTTGCACTAGTGAGTCTAAACTTTTGATGGGTAGTATATGTAATTAGTCAACTGTACTTTACATGTTTGTTGCTGTTTGTTGAGGTGTCTGACATATGCACCTATTACCTATACCGTATAATTGTCTCTGCCATCTTGAGACAAGAAATGTCAAGAAAGGTCCTCTTTGAATTGAAAAATTGCATACCTTGAGTACTCTTTCATTAAATGTCTGTAAGTATTTCATGTTGTCAGTTCCACATATCTATACAGAAATATAGAATCCCATTTAAAATCTGAATAAACTAATCCATATCAGGACAGCAAAAACTGTATTGTGCTAAGAGAACACAGGGCTCGATTTAAGAAAATGAAACCTAATTGCACCTGGTGCAACCTTAGGTAATAATCTTGTTGCACCAGACAAAAACACAGGGAATTTTTTAAAACAGTGTGTTTAAATCATTACTATGTTTCACATTTCACAATTCACAGTTACTTATCCTGTATTCTCTTTTCTATCCAAGGCACTCCTGCATCCATACTTCTTCACGGAGCCCCTGCCTGCCCATCACTCCGAGCTGCCCATCCCCCAGCGCACCCGTCGGAGTGGGTTGCATCACAAGCATCAGACCCACGAATACACAATGGACACTCCCCTGGAGGACTCGTTGCTGGACCCCGAACTGATAGCACCTCATGCCATCAGGCTGAAATAGAAGATCATCAGGCTGAAAATAGAAGATTCTTGTGGGACCCCCAGACTGATAACATGCCATGTCAGGCTAAATAGAAGATCCTTGCCATACTACTGTCAGGCTGAAATAGAAGATCCTTGATGGACTTTGAACTAATAGCTTCCCACAATGTCAGATTCAAATTGAAGACCCTAAGTTAATAGCATCCAACACCCAGCAAATCACATGATAGTTTCTACGCCTAGGGTGTATGATGCAATGTCATGTGAATGCTGCTCCTAACACCCCACCTTCCCACCAATCATATTACATGGATGATGGACTGCAGTCAGTTTAATGAATTGCACTGTGAACTGTTATTTCACAACATATTTCATGACTTATCTTTCTTTGGTGGATGGTAAGGTAAGATGTTATCTAACTGGGTTTTATTCTCTTCTTGTTATGATGTACAATTGAGAATTGAAAAGGACAAAAGATGGCAAAGAATGTCCCCATCCTCCTTATTATTTATATCATAGTACAGCTGTTCATTACAGTGCTGACAAGTCATCAATTTGACCAGACCTACCTTGCTTTGCTGGTACTTGTAGTCCAGTACCCCTGAAGATCTTGGGTTAGAATTGGTCTTCAGTAACCCATGCTTGTCGTAAGAAGCTTACTAACAGGATCGTGTGGTCAGGCTTTGCTGACTTTGTTGACACATGTCACCAAGGTGTGCATATCTGACTCTGGATTATTACAGACCACTTTCATATATAGCTGGGCATGTGATGAGAGACACTGTTAAACATAGAAAGCACTGTTTAACATGATCCAGAAGAATGTTCTGTTGTGCAAATGGTGTACAGAGAATTTTCATTAATACCAGGTTAACTTCTATAATTATGAATATCTGAACCTTCAAGCTGTGTTGTCATTAATCCATATCCGCTTGAATTATCATATTTCTTGAAAAGATTTCTTTCAATTGTATGGCAAGGCAATTTTCATGAATAAAAATTTAAAAGAAACTGTCGTCAAAATATTGAGGCTTTATTTAAATTTATGTGTGTTTGGTGTAAACCACTTCAAAGAGATATATTTTGAAATTGTTGTGTAAAATGAAAATGGGTAATATATAGAATAACCCCCTTGACTCGTGATAATAAATATGTGACGCACTGAAATAAAATTCACTGGTGACATGTTTAGTATGCACTTGTAGCTATAGCTTGTTGGCGACACAGGGGCATGTCACGCTTAGAAACAGCGTTAGAAAGACATATAGGTATATAGACCATGGAATAATTAGGATTGGCTATTGATATGGATCATGGAGATCAATAATCATTAACTAGATATCGATTGATTATCACAAAATATATGAGGGTAGCCTAGTAATGGAATAAAGTGTTGATCTTATCTTAGTGAATGACCTGGAATAATTAATTTCCCATATGGATCACAATGTGTAAGCCCATTTCTAGTGTCCCCATTGTGATATTGCTGGAATGATTGCTAAAAGCAGTATAAAACTAAACTCACTCACTAAGAAGGGTGTTCTGACTAAAGATTCATGAATAAAATAAATTCCTCACAATAATTTGCAATAAAAGTATTAACAATGACTTAGTTTTCATTTGAGATAATATGTATTCTACCTCAACACGATATCTCTCTCTCGTTGAGTTTTCTCTCTCCACTCTCTCTCTCTACTTTAAATGTCCATGTGATTACACAAAAGCCCATTGATTATCTCTCCCCATTGTGACTGCACAATATATTACCAGTATATTGGTATCACTCACTAGAATATGCTAATCACCGAGAAAATCCGGGTTAGAATATTGATCTTCAGTAACCCATGCTTAGTCAGGTGGTCGGTTGGTCAGGCTCACTGACTTGGTTGACACGTGTCATCGTATCCCCATTGCGCAGATCGATGCTCATGCTGTTGATCACTGGATTGTCTGGTCCAGACTCAATTATTTACAGACCGCCGCCATATAGCTGGACTATTGCTAAGTGCAGCCTCAAACTAAACACACTCACTCACTCAATATGCTTTCCTATTGCAATACATTTTCTAAGAACCAATATATTGGGTAAACTATTGTGTGAAGTATTGTGGTCATTTCTATGCTTTAAGTTAAAATCTACACAGATTTCCATTCACAACTGTTGTTTCCTTTAGTGATTTATTGACAAAACAGCATACCTTACAAACTATTAATCATATAAAAGATTATACACCCTAACTATCCAACCAAATTTTGAGATTGCAGTTGTCAGAACCATGTAATATATTTTTAGGGCTTTAGTATGTAGACAAGAGGTCCTGCTTGTACAATCAGTGTCATTCGCTGTCGAACACTTTTGCTCTCAGTATATCACAATAGATATCACAATATGTTGCAACACAATTTATTTGCTGACACACAGTCCAACTCTCCACAGTTAACAACCCGTGAAGATCCTGGTTAGAATGAATCTTCAGTAACCCATGCTTGCGACAAACGGGATCGGTTGGTCAGGCTCGCTGGATCGGTTGTCACATGTCATCGGTTCTCAACTGGTTTGATCACTGACACATGTCATCGGTTCCCAACTTACAGACAGATCACTGGATTGTCTGGTCCAGACTCATTCTCACTCAGTCACTCATATTAGGGTTCCCAGTTGCGCAGATCAATGCTCATGCTGTTGACCACTGGATTGTCTGGTCCAGACTTGATTATTTATAGACCACCGCCATACAGATGGAATATTGCTAAGTGTGGCGTAAAACTAAACTCACTCACTCATTCCACAGTTAACCAGGTAGTTTAAACAATATGGAAGTTGAAATATGATAATACAACATATAATCTTCCAATTCAAGTCAAATACCTTAATATATGTTCAAACATTCTTCACGGGATCGGGTGTTCAGGCTTGCTGACTTGGTTGACACATGTCATCGGTTCCAAAATGCGCAGATCGATGCTCATGCTGTTTGTCACTGGATTGTCTGGTCCAGACTCGATTATTTACAGACCGCGTCCATATGGCTGGAATATTGTTTAGTGCGGTGTAAAACTCAACTCAACTCACTCATTCAAACATTCTTCAGGTAAGATACAAGTGCTGGAATATACTGAATCGCAAAAGTAACGCAATTTCTATAGTCATGGGTGGTATTAATCGAATTATCACGGATGTATTCTGTTCCCGGCTGCCCTTAATGGAACATGCTAAAGTACTTGCGGAAAAAAATGTTTTTAGGCAGTTACTCTGTATCCCTAAAATTCACACAACTGCAAAAAGCATATGTCGTAATAGGTTATGCAGAAAAGCATGTTTACTTGTAAACTCGGGCAAAACTTACGGAAACAATACGAATAGCTGCTGAAAACAATAGATTAGACTATATATGACAATTAGGTCACTCAGCAAGGTCGACTCACCTACAGGCACAAGGGGTCATCTCAAACATATTTTATGCTTTTTCATGCGTGTTGAATACGTTTCACCTATTGATTAACATCTTACGTGTTGTTTTTTTTGCATAAAACTTATGTTGAGATATGAAAAAGAGTATGATACCCATAGAAAAGCTTAAACCAACCATCCTGTTAAATGTCTAAAAAAATATGGGTGACATGACAACCCCAAGATCGACAGGACTGGATAGTATTTGTAAATGTTATGACATACCATTTACATCCCCTGTTTAATTCCCCTAAAGGATTATCTCATCTTAGCGGATATCTATATCCCCTAGCCCGACCCCCACAACCGTCTGCGACGCCCGTCCTGGTTTTGCTTTTGAGACGACCCTTCATACCTGTTTGTTTTTATCATGATAGTGAGACTCCATGGCAGCTACATCCTTAATAGTTTGAATGTTTCAGTTTTAAAGTTATTATTTTTTACGTCAGCTATCGTTTTTAATGAAGCTAAGTCTAATTTCAAAGTGGGCCTTCAAATAATATCCTTTGTAATACAATATCAGCGCACACTAATTTGCATAAAGCCATGGTCTGTTCCAAATAAGTCACATTGGACTTAGAAAAAACCGCATTGCTCATTTCTGTACTAATCTCTCCTCAGTAAAGTCCTTTTTAACGTTACCTACCTCCCTGCCACAGAGACTGTAGTTAGGCCGAAGTTATATTTCACACTCTCACATATTAACTGCATAAAGTGTAGATATACATGTGAAAAAACGGGGTTTTTTTCTATTTCCGTCAGCACTTTAATAAGTAATATTAGCACTGTGATCTGTGTAAAATCATGACATTCGCGCATGTTCAATATTTGATCATAAGTATTAAAAATACACCTGTTCAATTAGTCGGTTCCAAATGAATTCCCGTGCTTCAAATACTCAATAAAACCACCCGGAAATTGGCCAACACATGATGTTTATCGATATTATAAACACAAAAATAAACCAAAAGGTCCACACGCGTTTTTGTAGGTTTAGTCTCGATGTTGACAGTCCCAATTTTGACAGTGAAATTTCACACTTCTGTAATTGATCTAGCCAGCTGTACCAGTTTTGACAGTGAGCTTACGGTCGTCCCAATTTTGACAGTCCTCGGCTCACACATGTTAATTAATCCCTGTGTCTGCAATCATTGACATCGAGTAGGGTACAGCAGTGAAGTGTCATCAGCCGGCCGATGTTGATGGTTGATGTTATGAGTCGAAATGGTGACACGGGTCAAGCCACAATGTCACCAACTCAATAACGGGTATGTTTACCATGGGCAACCCTGCATCTCAGTCTCATGAAGTCTGTCAAATGGGCACGGAAGGCTTGTGGAATGGCTTGCCATATTCTCGGCTGTAAAATCACGAACGTTATCTGGCGGATTTGGTACACGACGTAGACGTTGATCCATTTAATCCAACACATGCTCTACAGAGGAGGGACCCTGTGATTTTGTAGTCAAGGCAGTGCTGATAAAGACAAAACATAGCAACCAAAGCCATATGAGGACGGGGACTATCCTGTTGGAATGTCAGTAGTGGGCCATGGCGATGAAGAAACGGAATTGCCTCTGATCTCGGTAGCCCACACCTGTCAAATTGCCCTGAACAACAATTAGAAGAATTCCCTGACATGCACTTATCCCACTTCCCATCTCAAACCACCACGGAAACACCCACAAAGCGATTCGTCTCCAAGACACAGGCTTGAGCCTATCGCGGCCATGACATCGCTAGCTATCTGAAGACACGTTGGGAAATGTTAAATCTACTCGTTTTAAAAACAAACAAACAAAACAAGGGGAGATAGTACCACATTTGACGATTTTCGTTAAACAACAAACAAATCGCATTGTCAAGGTTCCAACGTTAAAAGCCTTAATGTGCTTCCCATACATTCTTGCTCACGTATCTCGCACCTGGAGATTTTCTCAGCATAATGTTACTGTTCAAAGCACAAGCGTGCTATCTCTGTGTCCAACTATCTCAGTTCGTCCATCAAATTCCTTCTGTGATTAGGTGTAGCTTATACTTTTGCAGGTCCAGTGTAAATATACTTTTTTTATAACATTCTCAGCAATTTGAGTAAATTATCAATTCCTACCTGTCTATTTGTGACAAACTGGAAGACCGTAGAAGGAATTCCTTCATCGCTTCAGAAAGCCTTCCCTGAATTTTCTAGACTAACGGACAACAGCAACAAATTGCAAACGTACTGATTTAAAATTTAATTAACAGAAAGTAGCAATAAACTAGTAGATTCTCAGCTTCGTGACTTTATTCTCCATATGTCAACGCCAATACAAAATGAGGCAAAATCTCGATCTCAAAATACACGAGGTGACTGAGTAATGTATTTGCCTTTTAAAAAATTAATTTAAAAGTAGAAGGGTTTATTTTGTGTAAAGGCCATAACACCCACAGTACAAGGTGGTACGATAGTGATTTTTGAGTTACCATTTTCACACAACAACGCTAACAGGAGCAGAATAAACATGTTCTGAGAACTTGACAAAATTATTTATTATATTAATGTCAGATGATGAAATTGGGTTTTA